ACTAACAAGGAGATATCTTAAAGAATGTTTGCTAATAAATTCAATGAGTTGGAAAAATTAAAAATCAGAGCTCTGGGGATGTTGTGACTCACGAAGAAACACTTTTTTAGTATCTGTTCCCAGTTCCTAAGAACTTTTTAAGCCTTCATTAGACAGGGGTTTCCAAGAGACTCTTTTGCTCTATTATTTGGACCCTGCCCCTAAACTCCTAAGATTTTGTATTAATATCTTTAGTTAATCAGTGCTTTCATTCCTTCCTGTTTTCATATATGGATACAATGAATTATGATCATAGTGATGCTCCACCCCATTTCCTCTCCAGCTCTCCCTGGAGCCCTCTGACACAATCCAAGCTAACTCCATATCCTTTTTATTACCTCCTTTCTCATAAAGCTAGTGCTGACCATATACTCATGGACGTGAGATGATCTCCTGGCACATGGGCAACCTACCAGTGGTCATAATCTCAAAGAAAAAACTACTATCCTACCTCAGCCACACTCAACTACTAGTAGATATTCAGATAGCTGTGGTGTCGTTCTCATAAACCCCTTCCACATCCATGCTGAAATATTGACTAACTTGATCTTCAGTTCTTGTGTAGGTAATTAAAGGTACTTTGATTTATGAGTGCAATGGCCATGACATCTCCAAAGACAGCACTTCAGGGACTCATTCCCATCCTCCAGCTCTCACATTCTTTCTGCTTCATCTTCCACAATGCTCCTTCAGCCTTGGGGAGGGATTTGGTGGTAGTTGATGCAGACATGACATTAGGGCTTAGCACTTACAGTCACTTATTCTAAGTGCTTTGAATGAATATGAGTCTCTGCATTGAATTCTGCCCCCTGCAAAAAGAATCCTCTTTGACTGAATTCAGATATAAATATGAGTATTTAGAAGGCAGTTTGGCAAAGTGTCAGTAAGTTTTTGACTAAGGCCTATGGCCGTCTTTAATTTCTTAAAAGGAGCATGTGCTATTCTTTTGTTTAAAAAGAAGAAAAATGCTGAGACAGATATATTGACTATAAGTTTATTATAAGGCCCGGCAGAATGGGGAGACTAAGAAGAGTAAAGGAACAGGGTAACGGCTGACCTCCATGGTCGGTCGCCATAGACAGGCAGAGAGAGCATAGGTGGGAGACAGAGTAGAGAGAAAGCAGAGACAAAGCAGAGCCGGGAAACAGAGGGAACAGAGAGTGTTAAATGGGCAGGGACTTGTCTTTTAAAGGGGTCCTCTCCACCTGCGTGCAGACTTAGTTCCCATGGAACCTTGGGCTGACCAGGGTATATATATATATATATATATATATATATATATATATATATATATTGTTTCAGCTGCTTTTAAAATATGATGTCATTCCCAAATAAAAGACAGGAGCCATGAAATAGTCTTAAGACTACCTATCTCTTGGGCACCTTCCAAGGATGCTGTATGTAGAGACCATCCAGTGAACACTAGAAGAGCACTGGTTGAGTCTTTTTTCAAATCCACCCAGCTGAACTTCTCTGTCTTTTTTTTTTCAGTTTCTCAAATGAGACTCTGTCTGCTTTCTTCTCTGTGGGTCAATTAGCCTTTCAATCATATTCACTACTGCTCCTCAGCAACTTCTAGTGAAGCCTAACATTACTTCTAAGATTTGATGTTGGGTAGTTCATTTTCACATCATTAATGCATGAATTTATTTATTTATTTTTTTACCTTAAAGAGTTGCTATTTGCATTACACAGTATCAGTTATATTTGTTGTTCTCCAGGGAATTCAGATTCTCTGACCTTCAAAGATTTTCCAAGGTCTACCCACAACAAATTCATCTATGACTAATACATGCTGTGGGATAATCTTTTTGTACACTGTGAAGATGCGTCTCTGCCAAGGCACCCTCTGACTGGTTTCATAAATAGCTGTACAACCAATAGTTGGCAGGAGAGGATAGATGGAACTTCCAGGCACAGATAAGAACAATAGTGTTACAATAGAGATAGGGTTACAATTTGGCACAGGGAATTCACTGGCAAGACATGGGGAAAGTTGTATAGAGGAAAGGTAACAAGCCATGTGGCAGAATATAGATTAATATAAATGGGTTAATTTAAGTTATAAGAGCTAGTTGGGAACAAGCCTAAGCTAAGGTCTGTTGGGGATCCCTTTGGGGTCTGCTATTCTTCTCTTAAGTAAGGGTGACCCACAATGCCCTTAGGGTCCATTGACTAGGTGTTACTTCCTCGTTCCCTCCTTCTGACTAGGCAGGTATGCAAGAATGCAAATTATTCGCCCATTGCCAGAGGGCTTAGGGGGGAGAACCTTGATCTGAGTAAATTTCCACTGTGGCTGCTGTTGGTATATAAGTATTCTCCCCTTTGAAATAAACAGCATTCTCCTTGCAAGAATGACCTGCTGTCTTGTCTTTATTTAACCCTCAGATTCTCTCACCCGAACCCGTGAGAAGCGTTGTAGAGCTGGCTGTTACGACAAAGGTCAAGCTTTCATAATTAATAAGAAGTCCCCATGTCATTATTTGGGAGTTGGCAGTCCAAAGAAAGTCTGACCATAATTGCATTCTTTAGGTAATGTTATTCTAGCAAAAAACTTCTCAGTCATTCTGTCTGATTCTGTTTCTCATAGATACTGTTTCTCAACTAGGCAGCAAATAACTTGAGACCAGATACCATATGTTAGGCTGGAACTCCTCTTCAGCAATAGAGCAGTCTAGACTGTCAGTCTTGGTTTCATTGCTCAGCATTTTCATTTCTGTCTAAATGATCCTGGACAACTCATTTATGTAGGGAGTAATCCCACGTACCTGTAGCGCTGACCATGCCCAAATGAGAATAGCAATGATAACAGTAGTGTCCACATAGAGTACTTGTGGGATTCAGATGGAGTAGGGAGAGTACCCAGAACATAGTGTTTATTGTCTGCTGAAAGAATTGACCCACAGACCAGAAAGAAGATAATTATTTAGGCTCAAATGATAGGCACACAGTTACATATCTGAACCTAGAGCAAGCTTTGGGACAGATACTTTATTGGGTCTTTTGGCCAACAGGAATAGTAAAATAGCTGTGACAAAAGTTGTATGCAGAGAATGATGTGATTGGGCTAAAAGCTGAACATCAAGTCATTGGAAGAGCATGCCCATGCTCCTTATCCAGTCCTCAGCCCACAGACAGAACACTGGCATCTTTTCTAGTCAATAGAGAAAGGAAGTCTGCCTTTCAAAGACTGTGGATACTTTCTGTGTCCTCAGAATGCTTGTTTTGTAAAACTTCGAGTGAAAAGGTCTGATTATCTTCACCATACAACACAAGAAACCAAGGCTTAGAGAGTTGAGATCAGGCTGTGCTCTGCTCTAAGCTACTCCATATTGTGTAAAACCGTGGTATTAAAACTGTGCCTTGCCCTTGAGAGACTCCCTTTCACAAGCAGCCTTTGACACCTTTTTCAGGATAAGCAGTGATGGGGCCACCCATGTGGCACAGACAGATAAATGACCTATTCCTGGGAATAGAGAGGGACCACACTATACGTTTATTGGGGGTGAACTGAGATGGTAGGGCCACATGGGCTTATTGAAATCCTATTAGGGAAATTATACCCAAGAGCTTATTTCAAAATGAGGGAAGAATTTAACTTCCTTTCCGAACTCAATAGAGAAGTAAACTTGTGGCACCGCAAAAGCTCTGTCCCACCAAACTGCCATATAGCACTGCAAAGGTGCTGTTGTGCTCACCTGCTCTCTGATAATCTGCTGCGTGTATGAAGGATCGGTGAGCAGAGAACTCCCAAATGTCCTAGGGCTTCAGTTTATCTCAGTCCCCATTGTTGATATGGCTTTCTCAACCTCTGTGTGTCCTCTGCTTGTTCACTCATCTGGCTGCACTCTCTATCCATCTCCTCAATTCTTCCTCTGGATTTGATCCTGTCCTTTCTGTAGCTGTGCTCAACTTCTCTTCCATACCCATGGCACTCACAGCCACCCAAATGTCTCCATCTTCTTCCCTGTGTCTCAGTTGGGTCCCTGTCTTACCAATAGGGACTCTTTTTACATCCCTAAAATTTACATGCAGTTTAGGACTTTGGTCTTTTCCAGGGTTATACATTTTTGTTTGGATCTAACTTTTGAGACTTCTACCCATCACCATGGAGCCATCACAGATATTTAACCTAACCATGAACCCAGGATTTCTTCAGGTGTCCCGAGAACAAAATTCCTCCAAAGGTTCAGAAGGTCCACAGCCAGAAATGTTAATAATTAAGACTGGAATAATAGAACCCATATTCCCTTTTGCCAAGCAAAGCTGGAGTATTTGGCAAAGAGCTACCGTCTGTTGTTATCTAATAGATTCTAACATCATGAGAAAACACAGATGCGTTTGTCTATATTTTTACATTAATATACCCACAACAAAAAAAGTCACCAGTAAAAAGTCATCTGATGAATGGCCAGAGCCGGATTCAACTCCCTATCTCCCTAGTTCCCACAAGACTCCAAGTGAGGCAGCTATGAACATCACACTGACATGTCTCATACTCAGAGTCAGTGTTACACAACTACTGCTTAGCCCTGGACCCGAAGGTCTGGCTTACAAGGGTTTACAGAAATGGCCTCAAGCTATTTCATAAAGAGGTGACCCGAGTTATAAGGGAAGGAGCTGCCACAGATCTGCCACCTTTTTTCAAGAAATGATTTCTGTTGCCCTTCTTCCTAGCCAGTCCCCACCCACACCTTTACTTCCCACAGGAAGGGGTAAGTGTTTACTTTGCCACCGTGAGCTGCCTGTGGTTTCCCTCATGGTGCAACACAATGCTTAGCTCTATTAGCCACTTCTCATCATGTGAGATCAGCTTCTTTGCCATAAGTGGATGAAAGGCAAAGAGTTTGCTGTTCCTGATGTTCGTGACTCTGCTCTGAAACGGACTCCATTCCTGCAGCCCATAAGGCCCACTTGTGCCCAGCCAAGCACACAACAGCAGTAGACCAATCTCACCTGTCATGCCTGGGCAGCTCTCTGCAGCGGCTGTGCTCTTCCTGTCTCTTGCTGGTAAGTGACATAGCCCATCTTCTGTGGTAGTCATGCTTTATTTTATATCTAAATGCTCACTTGTGCCCTGAACCTAAGGTGAGGCAGGAAGGGCTGTCGATATGGCTTCTGTTACTCCAGGTATTCAGTGTGGGGACATTTAAATCCTGTTATCTTTCATAGCTGGGGACCACCCTCTATTTTCTCCAAGGACCTTCATGATTTGGATGGAATTTCTGTGAGTTAGAATGGGTATCAGCCCCAGAAGGTTTCTGGCACCCACATTAGTCTGGATACCATATATCAATGTGAGTTTATAAAAATCACCTTAATCTAGGAGAGCTGAGCCAGGGCTTAGAATTGGAGCTGTTGTCCAGTCACATACTGCCTTCTTTGTTTTTCTGAAGTGCTGTTTATTTTATGTAAACAGTGACAATTGTAGATACATAAGCTGTCACCATTTCACAAAGGTGTAAATTGAGGCATCAAAAGGGTTATTAAAATACTGCTGTTGCACAATCAACTCAGAAAGGTTGCCTGGAAGGCCAAGCTTAGAATAATTACTGTCTGTCTGAAATTCCTACTCTCACTTGAGTATTTTATACACAAGATATCGAGTTCCATTGGGTTGTTGTTCTGTTCTGCTAGCAAGTATACCAGCTAATTTCCAGTTCCTTCTAGAACCACTGAATGTAGCTTGTGAGACCACTAACTCAGTCTATATGCAGTCCTACAATGCTCGAGTGGAGAACACAGAGGTCTTAGATGAATGTTATGGAAGCCATGTGAAGGGTCATGGCAGCTGCCTTAATCCAAGTAGGTTTTATTTGTGCCATTCTCTCAGGATTATAACTTCCTGTTCTCAGAAGTACGGAAAAGAAATGACTTGGTTTGAGGCTGTAGTGCAATAGTTGGCTTGGCATTGGATCCACTCTCTAGCACCATGGGAAGAAGCCCACAATTTATCATTTTAAGCAAATATAAAAAGTAAAAATTTCTGCCTATGAACATACTTTTACCCAGCTAGAAGTGGAAGTAGGATGAAGGATTCTTTACTCTAAAAAATACAGGTTCAGCTTACAGTCAAGATTTCATTGCTGAGGAAGAAGAGTCTGGATTCTGGAGGGTAGCTTGGTTATCCTCAACTTAACAGCCAATATCCACATATAAGAATACATAACCACATTTGTCTTTCTGGGTCTGGGATACATCACTCAGGATAATTTTTTTTTTCTAGTTGCGTCCATTTACCTGTGAATTTCATTTAAGAATGCTGAGTAATACTCCCTTGTGTAAATGTTTTCTTTATTCATTCTTCAATTTAAGGGACATATAGGATGTTTCCAATTTCTGGCTATTATAAATAGAGCAGTGTCTCTATGGTAGGATGAGGAAGAAGCACTTTTGGCTTCAAGCCACCATGTAGTAAGTGTCCAGTTGTGATGCTTTAAGGTTAAGGAATACAGATCAGTAGTATAATGCTTGCCTACCAAATACAAAACCTTGAATTTGATTCTCAGTAGCATGAGCACTAAGGGTTTTGTCATTACCTATTAATACAGAAAAATTAACCACTTAGAATGTATTGAATAGAAGACAGAACCTAGAGATACTTATAGACTATAGTGACTGTTATGAACCTGCAGATTTCATAAATAACAGAGTAAAAACATGTTCTTTTCTCAAGTCTCAGCCCAGAATCAGCAGCTATAGTTCCGGTAAGTATCTGAGTAACTGCAATATAAACAAAGAAGTTTGAAGGGACAGAGTGGTTTCCCAGAACACCTCATCAAAGAGTTTCCAAGGGCCAATTTAAGAATTTGTTTAGTGCTGGAGAGATTGCTCAGTGGTTAAGAGCACTGGCTGCTCACCCAGAGGACCCAGGTTCAATTCCCAGCACCCACATGGCAGCTCACAACTGTAACTCCAAAATATGACACCCTCACACAGACATACATGTAGGCAAAACACCAGTGTACATAAAATAAAAATAAATATATTATTTTACTTTGTTGATCACCCATGGGAAGCCTCACCCTCCCTGAGGAGTGGATGGGGGGTGGAATTTAGTGAGGGGAATGGGAGGACAGGTGGGAGAGAGAACTGGGATTGATATGTAAAATAAGATTGTTTTAAATTTTAATAAAATTAATTAAAAAAGAATTTGTCTACTTTTCTGGGCTTATATGTGCTTAAAAAGAGGCATGGATAGAATCCCGATAAAAGAGAGGCAGAAGTCTTAAACTCCTTAAAGGATATCCTTGGAGAAACTTTGTGACAACAGCAGACACTATATACCCAATGGTCCTGAAGGTTTTCACAGACACCAACTTGTTTGAGCTTTATAATAACTTTAGAATCTATTTTCCTCCTCAACTCACTCGTCCAACTCATAGTTACTGAACACTTTCTATGCACAGGCACTTGTGAAAACTATGCACAAAATCTCAACTTTAGACTTTTAATCTAGTGAATAAGATGCATAGCCAACAAATAACTCAGCAAGTAAACATTTCTTCAAGGATGGAATTCTACTCATCCCTACTGGCAATGTGATCATTAAATATTTTGGTACTTTCCCCATATGTGAGTACAAGATGTGATAAGTGAAGCCAAAACAATGAATATATCCCTGAGATGGAGAACCATGGTGATGGGGCCATATTATATAAGGAGGAAAAGGGAAGACACTCTAAAGAGCTAGTACTTAAATCAAAACATGAAGGACCAGAGCAATTATCCCTTGGCTTTTTTCTTAGTTAATACTGTTGCTCAAAAGATTAAGAAAATAATAGAAGTTTGTCTATATTTAGAAAAAAATAATATAGAAGGGACTATCTTGAGAGAAAATAATCTCTCATTATTAGGAGCAATTAAACATAGATTGCATGAATATATATCAATTAGGGACAATTTATCCACCAGATTATGCTTTAAACTAAATAGCTTGTGAGACTTATTTCAACTTGGAATTACTTGATTCCTTGAAAAATATTAAACCCTAAAAATCTCTAATGCTGCCTCAGTCTATAAAATAATCACAGCCACTGTTCACTCTAGGTCATTGTATGACTACTTTTTGATTTCACAGTTGAACATGGTCACTTTGGTGTGCATTGGTACCAAAACTTATGCAGATGAAGGGGTTACATGCAGAATGTCTGGCATATGGTCATAAACATGCAAAGAACACATGTGCAAAAGAAAACATTGCAGTGATGGCCTGGTACTAGACTCTTTGGTGGCCTTCATTCCATTGTTGCAACTTTTGAAAGGTTTCCCCAAACATGAAGCTGTGTACACTGGTTTACTTGTGAGCACATTAAAGTGGGAATGGAGGAAGGACCTTTTAAATATTTGGTCACTGCTTGTAACATTTTTGCTTTCTTAATTTGTAGTGATTTTACATGGCCGTCAAATGAGAGAAAAAGAATTTCCAAAAAGCAGAGACTATCTTCAATATACCTCAACAGTTACAGGACAGACCACAGCAAAACCTCTCTTACAGCTAACTAACCAAACACATCATGAAACTTTAGCAGCAAGACCAAGGGATGGTGACATTCAAATGTCTGCTGAAGACAACACCTCTGAAAATGCAGCTCATACGACAACCAAAACAATAATCCCAGTAACTACAAAAAGCCTTCTACCCAGCAGCCCAGCTAACTATACCATTGTTACACCTAATAGCTCACATGTGACTACTTTATCTACTGAAGGTACCATTGGCCCTAGTTTAGTTGCACATTTACCAATTCATACAACTGGAGCTAGTCTATCCACTGTCGACCATATAACTTCGAGAACTACCCAACTTGGTGGTCAGACTACCCTCCACCAAACATTTTTCACAGCATCACACAAAAGCACAACCAATCAGAAGTCAACTCTACCCACCAATGTCCCAGGAGCATCAGTACCTACACACAATGTCAGCTTTGCAACCTCACCTGCCCCCATAGTTCCTGGGCCCACACTTGCAACCCAGTCATCACCAGCCAAGACAGGAACGTATGAAGTCCTAAATGGAAGCAGGCTTTGTATAAAAGCAGAGATGGGGCTAGAGCTGATTGTTCAAGAAAAGGATTTGGTAAGTTGGGGGTCATAGGATGATAATGCTATCTTCAAAGTCTGATTGGAGTTGTTTTGCTAAGAATGAGAAGTTCTTGCTGGGTGGTGGTGGCACACACCTTTAATCTCAGCTCATGAGGCAGAAAACAGCAGTTCTCTGCATCCTATCTTTAGGTGAGATAGGTAGCTAGCTGGGGGCTCCTTTCCAGTGTTCTCTATAATAAAGGAATGTGTTCCAGAAGAAAAGTTAAAATAGAGAAGGCAAAGAAAACTTCAGTATATATACTTCTCACTTGGAGCCAGCATTGGCAATATTATGGATGATGAGTGACAACCACAGCCTGGCCTTGTCCTTCTGCATGACTTACCAGCCTCAGTTCCCTTCTGACATGAGACATTGGAATCTGATGTTCCCATGACTCCAGCCCACTGTGATATTAATATAGAAATCCAAGTTAACAAGAACATTAGGGAAAGGGTTATACAAAACATTTTACTCACGAAGGAGCCATCATAAATTATTTCTTTTTAGTTTTTAATCCACCCCCCACAAATCTGTATTTGAGGCAGAAGTACTTTAGAATACAAACCCCTCCCTCTATCACCTTTCAATAAGTTGAACTGAACAAAAATAGATTCCATGAAGTTTGCATCCTGAGTTACCCATTAAGAAGTCCCTATCATGGGGGAATTCCTTATAAAAAAATCTTTTAAACATGTGCTTGTAAGTAAGAGGGTGCCATCCACTAGGGAAGTTTGTGGTTTTCAAATAAACATCCATTTATTTATTACTCATTTCATGATTTGTACTTTGGGGTTTCTGGCTTGAGTGTCCTCTGTTCTCTTACTGAGTGGGTCTATCTTATTTGGTTTAGGATTTTGCAACTCAGAGACACTTCAACATTGACCCCAGCCTAACCCATGCATCCGGAAAATGTGGCTCCCAAAAATCCAACCTCTTCTTGGATTTCCAAGGTGGATCAGTGAATATCACATTCATCAAGGTAAGGCATGGATTTCATCACACTGGCTCTAGCATAGCTTGGCCTCTCCTCAATCTAGTGTCAGTACTTCTGTGATAAATTTCAAGCTAGGGCCTGTGGCAAAAATACCTAAGGACCTCTTGAGATGGGTTCAGATAAGAGTAAGGAGCTTGGGAGGGAAAGGAAGTGTTGACATCATGTTTACCTTTGTCCCCCTTGGCTTCCTCTGGCCAGTCCAAGAAGGGCTTCAGTGTCTCTCAGGAGAGCCTTAGCTTTGTGGGGGTCTAGTCACCAGTGCCCTTTGCAGATTGCTCAAGGAGGTAGTAGAAGGGATGAAAAGAATTGTGGGAAATTCCCAGTGGACGTCAGAAAAGTGCGGTTATTCTAAAACCAACACCAAATACCAGAATGGGTTCTTTCCAATCCCTGAAGGCAAAACTCACAGACTACAAAGGCTCTGAGTTTTCTTGACAGGAGGTAGAGACAACCCTGAAGAATGAGAAAAGCTTGGGCATTGAGGTCATAGTCAGCTGTAAATTTGACTCTATTACTCATCTGTTTTATGGCAGCAAGTGAGCAACCTTAATCTATTTAACTTCTATTTTATTACTTAAACATGAGAAAAGGGATTGTTTTTATGAAAGCATATGCATTGTAGAGAAAGTGGTGACTATTCAACAGCTACCTACATTGGGCAGTTATCTGGGGATAAGGCAAACAGATAAACCTGGTCATCCCACTGTCCAGAAAGGAACTTAACTCACTGTGGAGCTGAAAGTAGCCAGTATTAGTTGTATGTGCTCAAGCTTCTTGGGGATGTTTCTTAATTTGTAAAGTGGAGATTATGAGACAAGTTACTCTGACTTTTGGCAGGATGAGAAGTATACATGTGAACTATTTAACACAGTATTTATGTGTGCATGGAAATTATTTAGCTTGCAACATAGTTGTTAAGAACAAACTAAAGCTCTTAATTGGCTCTTAGTTGTGATTCTGGATTGACTAAGACTTCATTTTATAATATGAGCTGTTGGGATGAGCTCAGCCTTGTAGGTTGGGCTTAGCAGTGGGTGGCAATTTCTTACCCTGTCCATCTTAGGGCTATGGCCTCGAGTAACACTCAGTCTTCATTTGTCTCCTCATAGTTGTGTGGATTAACTAGGACAAGGCATGGAATGTCTGCTACAGTGTCTGGTACAAACTTAGAAGGCATCACGGTAGGCCAGTCAGTGAATTGCAGGATCTAGAATTCCTCAATCTTCTCGGCGGTCTTGCTAAAGTAGGTTGTACTGTGCAATGAATCATCATTTCATGTATGAATAACAGGGGTATGGACTATAATGTGATCATAATTAATAAATTTCTTTTTTGATTACATGTGAAACTTTTGAAAGTAATTTGATTTTATATTCTGATTTTGGTTACAACATCTTTATTTTTACACCCTTCTGGTGATAACAATATAAATCACTAACTTGGAAAGCTAGAAAGGGGCCAAGGATATAGCTCAGTGATAGAGTATATTCTTATTATGCATGAGACCCTGGATTCAATTCTCATCACCAAATAGATACACAAATTTCCTTTTAAATTGACTCCTTCATACCCAAAATTAAATTCTCTTGAGCATTCTGTGCCTCTAGTCTTTCAAGCTGCTGTAGGCCTATTGTATAGTTCCTTTTTATTTCCGTAATAAAAACTTGTACATAAAATATAGGGGTAAAATGTGGACTTCAGGAAAAATGGAGTCTTCCCATTTTTGGTGGCCCACTTAACCAATCTGAAAACATGAATCTATTTATCTCTCTAGATCTCTATTTATCTCTCTAGATTTTGCCAAGAAAAATGCATGTACAGTTTTGCTTATTTAATTTTCTCCAGAGGGTTGATGAAACTGTCAAATTCCCCCCAATGTATTCTTGAGGATGGGTATCTAAGTTAATACCACCCACCCATATTAACCATTCCTCTCTGCCTTTCAGATGTAATTGCATTTTGGAAACTTGGCAGAATTCAAATTCTTCTGGTGGAACTTTAGTTTCAGGCTCTAGCAACAAGTAAGAAATAGAGAAATGTGGATCCAGGAGCCATTCATTCATTATTTTTTTATTTATTGTGTGATATGCTTACTTTTGTTGAATTTTTCAAATATAATTATGACTAGCACAAACATACACCATAGTCCAGTCCTCATATATAGAACTTAATAGCCAAGATTATAAATATAAAAATAGAGATTACCCAAAGGCTAATTAATACATTGCTGTTTTACAGGAAGAAAACTCATACTATGTCAGTAAAGTGGGAGCCTATTTGACTGTCTCAAATACAGGTTAGTAAGAGAAGAGCTGTCATATCGCTGTTTTCTGGTCTGCTCATTTTCTTATCATTGATTCTGATACTCTTTGATTTTTGTTTTAAACAACAAGCAAGTAGTCTATAATAAAACTCTGGGGGAACTCATAACCCAGAGTAATTCAGTCTATCTGACCATGGAGGATGGTGTTCTAGATTATATCAGCAATCATTACCTTTAGAAATTGCGAGTTCAGGACCCTTTAACTAATTTATTGTTGGTTGTTGGAATGCAATTTATTCTGCACTCTGAACTGTTTATTATTCTAAAAAATATGATATGATAGGTACCAAGCTTTGTCTGTGTTGAAACTGAGGAGCCATAATTATCCAAACTGCTAAGATTCTGTCAGAGTGGAGCTTGCATTCCAGAAGGGAAAAACACCATACATAGCTATGCTAAACGGCATTCTTAAGTGGCAATGAGCTCTACGAGCAAACCCAACCCAGAATGTCAGAGGATGGAGAGCTGTTTCGTGTGCCCTTTGGGAAGCAGGAGAAAGACTGCTTTAAAAATGCGAGGTTTGATCACAGTATCTCCATTTGTGAATATCTAGTTTGAGGCAACTTTTCCAGATGGCAGTAATGAAAGATGCATGGGTCTTAAGAAGTGAGGTTGCTGAAGTAGCTGTATTCGCTACTTTTCTATTGCTGCTATATGGCTCAGGTAACTTATAGAAGGACGGCTTATTCGGCTCATTGTTCCAAAGACATAAGAGTTCATCATCATGACAGAGAAGTGTGGCAGCAGGCAGGCATGGCGACTGGGGCCTGGAGCAAAAATGAGAGAGAGAGAGAGAGAGAGAGAGAGAGAGAGAGAGAGAGAGAGAGAGAGGGAGAGAGAGAGAGAGAGAATGCACAGTGGGAATAGCATAACATGAAGTTTGGAAAACTCAAAGCCCAACCAGAGTGATACATGTCCTCCAACAAGGCCACACCCACAAGCAGTGCTACCATCTGAAGACAAAATATCCAAATATCTGAGCCTATGGGGGACATCCTCAATCAAACCACCACAGACGCTAAGGAACAGCCCTAGAGAGTGAACACACAGCAGATGAGGCCCCAGGAAAGGCCAGTCTAGGGCATGTATGGTCTCTGGACAGGTAAGCTAAAGACTTGAGATTTTCTTCCAAAATATATAAATATTTTTCCACAGGGAGATTTGGTTTAAGATAATGGTGTTTCAAATTTGCATTTAGGACAGTTCACTTTGGTTCCCTTATGGAAAATTACCCATAGTGGGGCATGTTTAAAAAAATTACGAATATTGATGTTTAGAGAGATAATGCTCCTGAATAAATCTAACTAGTCTACAGAGGGCCTCGGATATTTCTCCAGAAAGTCTAGCCTTAGATAACACATTTATATTGAGCCCCTCTACTGCGTCAGTTACTGCCTTGGGAATTTTCTATTTCCTTCCTTTCAAAGTGTTATCATTTGATTGGCTTAAACATTACTAATTAATTATCTCTTACGAATGAAATTTGCCAAGAAATGAAACTGTGGGGGTAAAGTCTGTTTAAAATATTTGCTATATTTTATTGATGTTATTCAAGAGGATTTTTTTTGTCAGTGATGCTGGTTAAATGTAAAAAAAAAAGTCACAACTGACAACTAATTTTCATATGCACCAACTTATCGAGGTTAGAGAATAAGATTATGAGTGCTAATAGAAATTGCTTAATGCTATCACTGGGGATGGACCATATTTTAGCCAGTTGTAGTGTTGTTAACTCTCAAGAAATGTGGGAAAGGAACACCAGACTGCAAATTAACTTAGAGGCTAAAAGATGGGGAAACCAGTTCTAGGTTCATATGATCAAGGGCTCAGCACTATTAGCAGGAGGAACAGTAGACACAGTAATGATGGTTTTCATGGCAGTGTGGTGTTGGAACTAGTATTTATAACAGCAATTCATCATTACTAGTACCGACCACAGGCTTGATGTTAATGTGGATGACAGCCATAGGATACCTGGATAGACAGACAGATGATACATAGATAGGCAGATAACACATAAAGAAAGCTACAGATATGTATCACATGATGCAGTAAACAGATAATTTAGTACATCATCTCAGGTCAACTTGTTAATTTTATTTTCTTTTTTCCAACTTGTTAATTTTTGTGAGATTATTCTGTACTGTAACTGACAGACAGACAAGACACTTTGGTACTCTGGCCCATGAATTTTTTTTTTGTCCTTCACGAAGACAAAGTATGTTTGGAAGAGTGTTTGGTGAGTGTCAATTTGGAGCAAATGAAATTTTTCTTATGTCTAAGCTCACCTGCCTTAAAGATCACCTTCTTGAAAAGGGTATACCTGAGATAATGAGCAGGTCACTCTCCCGGACAGCAAACAGAAGGAGTAGGATACATTTCCAAGGAAGATGCAACTTCCCTCCTGGTGAGTTCTTCCTCCTGCTGTACTGATCCAGTCTCAGAACATACAGATGCACCATTTGTGGATTTGTCTGTCTTTGTTCTGGCTCATTGTCATGCACTCTAAGTATTCGAACAATCTTACTTCTCTTTCTAAAGTTTTAGGAAACTTGCTCTTGCCCCTGGGATTGATAACTGTCTCTAATGATGCAAAAGAATCTAGAGGAAAAGCACTCAGGTCAATGTTCTCACGAGGGAAACTATGTGAAACATTCCTCATTAATTCCAAACAGAGCCACAGAAAAAGTCTGCACACCTAGAGTAATTTTTTCATGAAGAAAAGATGGCAGAACTCCAAGGGCACACCACCTGAAGGAAGGCACCTGGGGTGCACTGGCAGGCTGGTAGCACCTGGAGTCGATACTGTCAGGATTCTTGCACATCACATGTCACTTTTTCTCCTCAGAAAGGACTTATCAGGGAATGACGCACCGTATGGTGATGTTTGAGACAGTTGTTGGGCATTCCTTCAAGTGTGTGAGTGAGCAGAGAATCCAGCTGTCAGCTCAGCTTCAGATGAAGACAACGAACATCCGTCTCCAAGCCTTTGATTTCGAAGGAGACTGCTTTGGAAATGGTAAGTCAATCATCCTTAAGTCACAAACAGCCTCCAGAACCCCAGGGGGGCAGTTCCAATGTGTGTTTATTCTGTAGCTGTTAAGGGACCAGGGCACATGACTTCCTGTAATAGAATAACCCTGTGAAGCTCTAAGGCCTGTGCTCCCCTCACACTTACATGTGAAAATCATACGTTATATATTGTTTTATATATGGTTTTGTATATAACTAATGCATGCCCACTGCCTTACTCCAGCAGAATGACTCTGCAACTGGATGAAACATAAATGTCTCACTCATTTAAACACACACACACACACACACACACACACACACACACACACACACTCACACACACTCACACGCCCCAGGAAGTATCGGGGGCACTGTGGACAGCATGCTAAAGGACACTTTAAACATCTTTAGTAAGAGGTTTTAAAAATTTTTTTCTTAAGATGTCATAATAGATTCTTCATGAAACAGGATCACTTAGATGTCCCTTTTTTCTACAATCAAGAAGGAAATAAGTTGTGTGGGAGTCCCTTTTCTGGAATCTAAGACATTTCATTGTATGTTTCCTCACAGTCAGTTTAGTTCACAGCTGATGTTTTTTTGCATTTGAATCACTACACAGAGCTTAGCTTGCCCGCTACTTCCCAGGGTGGAAACTAGCCCTTAGATGAAGGCCAGGCAAGACAGGTCACTTTGTAGAAAAGCCCTTGTCTTAGTCACTGTTCTTTTGTTGTGAAGAGGTACCATGACCACAGCACCTCATAAAAGAAGGCATGTAAGTATTTCAGAGGGTTCATTCGTTATCACTGTAATGTGGAGCATGATGGCACCCAGGTATGCATGGCCCTGGAGCTGAGAGCTTTACATCCTGATCCATAGGCAGCAGAGAGAGAAGAAGAGAGAACCTGGGTCTGGCCTGGGCTTTTGAGACCTCCAAGCCCACCCCCAGTGATGTATTTCCTCCAACAAGGACACACCAACCCCAATAAGGCCACATTTTCTCCAATAAAACCTCATTTTCTAATCCTTTTAATTCTTCTCAATAAAGCCACTCTCTAGTGAACTAGTGACTAAACATTTAAATACATGAGCCCATGGGAGCCATTCTTATTCAAATTACAACCACTTGTACACGTTGGAAAATAGTGTTACTAGACTTCTACATTTGACCAGAAGGATCATAAACTAAAATATGTTTCTTGGAGGAACTAAAAAAACTATTGTAAAGTACATCATGAATAGAGAGGTTCTGTGTGAACTTCTGATATGAATCTGATTTTACTTTGGGTTCCATTCTACAACTGAAGATGTGTCTAGAAAAAAAAAAAAGAACCTTCTTCTCATTTGTCAAACAAAGAACTCAGGTGTTGTTTGTGTTGGATCCTGTGTTTTTGAAAGTTTTCTCTGAGGCTTAGAGTTTCTGCTTTTGCTTGGTGCCATTGTCATAGTGTTCCTGCTAGTAGGTGTTACAATGGCTAAGCTGTCAAAAGCTGATTTTAGGTATCTAACTTCTAGGAAATATCCAATTCACCATGAAAATCTGAAAAACTTCTAACAATCATGTGGTTTCAAAATAAGACCCACACTTGCTTGTCTACTAGTGAAAGGTCTCTGTGAAGCAGGAAAGATCTGGTGGATAAAACCTATTCATGTCTGGTTACTAATATATGCTCACAGGCAGATGTGTAAAACAAAAGAAAACATCATCAAAGAAAAAAATCCATCATCAGCCGGAGAGACCCTGAGCAAGAGGCCAATGTTCCTTCACTCTTCTCCCTATTTCTCCTTCTCACTAAGCTCTCACAGCCCCCTACTGTTTTTATCACCAACACATTTCTCTTTTGGTCTCTGCTTTAGCTCAAGTCCATTCCTAAATCTTGTAGTTCAAAAAATTTTTGAATGATGCTCAAGTGGAAAGTCAAGTGTCATTCTGTAAACACTACATTTTTTTTTTTTACCAGAAGCAGCCACTTAAAAAGTAGAAAAGTATTTCATGAATGGAATTTAAACACATAAGTGCAAAGGCCATGAGCACTCAAAGAGAGCAAGATTAACTCTGTGCTGATGGTGAGGGGTGGATCAAAGAAGGAAAGTTTTCTATATTTTCCACATTTCCACTCATTATTTTTAACAATAAGGTCATTTGATTTGGCAACTACTTCACGGTTACTGTTCATTTATGAAGTGCACTTGGTCTTCATGGAAGTGTCTTAGCTCTTTCTTCATTCCTGAGGGCTTGAGGGAAGCATCTGAAAGACTCAAGAGAGCCTGAAGAGCTCCTACATATCTAGAGTTCTCAGAAACAGCCATTTCCTCTTACAGAAGGTGTTGATAGAACACTGAGTGTGAGGGCCTGGGTTTCTCCTAAGTGATTCAGGTAATAGCACACACTTGGCTTGGAGAGATATGATCTCCTTTGTCCTCTGTCAGACACTTTTTCTTTAGGCTCCCAGGTCTGCGATGTCAAGGGCCCTTGTAAAGCTCTACAGAGCAGAGTGGGAGGTGTTGATTCACGAAGCCACTAGCCACCCTGAAGAACAATCACATTAAAGTTTAATCTATTTGGTGGATGAGAACAATAGGCAGAGTTTAACATGAAGAATAGAACAATGAGGTATTTTGTAAAATTGTAATTTTCATTTCTACTATCTCCAGTGAGTTCTGTCAGTTAACAGACTTGTGTTATCTATCCCCACCAACACAAACTATTCTCCATGTTAACTTGGACTTACATTCTGGTAGCCATAAAGAGCAGGAGTTTTGGTGCAAGAGCTAGTATACCAATAGTTGGATATGTTCATTTTTCACAGCTTTACTTACTTCCTCCAGTGCAGAGTAGAGGGTCAGCTGAGATAGGCTCCTAGCTTTGTCTCTCTCTTCCCATCTACTACATACACAGTCCCTCTAAAAAACTTTCAACAAGTGAACAAAAATTCTGTAGGTGCCTCATTCTGTCTGAAATAAATAAAAGTAGTCACTTCATAGTCTTCCTTTTCAAATCAGGGGTGGAAAATAGAAAGAGGAAACATAGGGACTGAAGGAAGTGAGCTGAGAGCCATATCAAACAACAGGATGACTCCAGACCACAACTAGTTTCCAGATTATATAAAGAAGAATAGATTCCAAAATGATGAAGTATTAGTGTTATTGCTTTGCTAGGCATATCATAGCAAAGTGCTACAGGCTGGATGTCTTAAGCAGCAGAAATTTATGTTCTCACAGTTCTGGGATCTAAGAGTGAAGATCAATATGTTGGCAACAACTGATTCATTAAAATTATTTTATTGGAAATAGTTTTTTTCATAGAATATATTCTGATTATGGTTTATTCTCCCCCAATCCTCACAGTTCTTCCTCCCTCCCTTCCAGATCAACACTCTTTCTGTCTCTGCTTAGGAAAAACATCATAGATATCTAAGGAATAATAATACAATATGAGATAATATAATAACACCAGTAGAAAAAAATTAAGTTTTCATTTACAAGTGGCTATTGATTGGGGATAGCTTCTAGCTTAGGGATGGGAGTATGCCCACTATTTTTCAGCCCTAGGACCCCACCTGGTACAGACCCATGCAGACCCTGGGTTTGCTGTCTCAGTCTCTGTGAGTTCCTATGTTTATCTGTCATGTTCTGCTTAGAAGGCCTTGTTTCCTTTGTGTTCTCCATCCCTGAGGCCTGAGGGGAGGGATTTGCTGGAGACATCTCTTTCAGGGCAAGGTTTTCCCAGGCCCCTCACCCTCTGGCTGAGAGTCTTTGTATTCATTTCCATCTGTAGCAGGAGGAAGCATCTCTGATGATGGCAAAGCAAGGCATGGATCTATGAGTATAGACTGCCATTAGGAGTCATTTTATTGTTATGTTATTTTGGCAGAATAGTGGTATTTGGTTCTCTCTTAGATTCCTTGGCTATCTAGTCTTAGGTTCTTGGCCACCCAAGTATCATTGGCTTCTATCTCATGGAGTGGGCCTTTACTCAAATTAGATAGGATTTGGTTATTCCCACAAGTTTTGTGCTATCATTGATCTAGCCTATCTTGCAGTCAGGTCACTCTTGTAGATAGAAGCATTTGTAACTGGGTTGGTGTGCAGACACTGCCTACTTCTGAGTCCCTGTGTTTGTTCCTATCTAGTGCAGGAAAAAGCTTCTCTGATGATGAGTGAGCAAGACACTGATCTATGAATATAGCAAAATGTTGCTAGGAGTAATTTTATTTCCACATTCCTTTAGCAGAACAGTAGTATTTGGTTTTCCCCTAGGTATACGATCTATCTAGTTTCAGGCTCTTGGCACCTGAGCAGTGTTAGGGATGGGTTCCATATCATGGAATGGGTCTTAAATAAATCAGACATTGGTTAGTTACTCCCACAAATTTTTACACCTGGAAGACTCTTACGTTTCCAGTTTGGCTGCCAGTACAAGGAGCAGCCTTGTCTCCTTTTGAACCACAGATTCTGTTTGCTGATCCTTAGTAAATAATCCCCAAAGATTGTTTTGACCTGAATGATGCTTATCTCTTTTTAATCACAGATGATTTTTTAAACTGCTACAGATTATTCAAGGAAAGGAAAGTTTTCACTTTAGTAGTTCTGTTTTTTTGTTAATCAGTTAATTTTTCATCTCCAACTGACCAGAACCACAGATTTTTAATTCAAATTTTCACATAATGTCTCTGGCAGAGTCTTTGCTTTCCTCTGAAACTTCACAAGCCAGGCTTCTGTTGTCTGTATTGCTTTCTGATTACTTTTCAAGTTCCCAGAGCATCCCATTAAGCTCTGAACATCAATGGCTTTTCTAGCACAAAGTTCCAAACTTCTACAATCCTCTACCAAAACAACGTGGCCCAGGTCTGTCACAATAGTCCACTTTGTGGTACCAATTTCTCTTAGTTGAATGAAAAAGAGAAATAAGAAAGGAGTACATGATTTCTTCTATGTATGGTAGAGGAGGTTTATTGTAGATAAAAAAGAGAGCATAGTCGGAGGCAGGACTGATTTATGTATCAGAGTTTTAGACCATTATTGTCATTATGGGAAGCATAGTGGCATGCAGAAAGACAGGGTACTAGAGAGGTAGCTGAGAGTTCTACATCCAAATCTATAGGTTCCAAAGCCCACCCCTAGCACACACTTCCTCTAACAAGACCACACCTACTCCCACAAGGTACCAATTTCTCTCTTAGTTGGATGAAAAAGAGAAGTAAAAAAAGGAGTACATGATTTCTTCTATGTATGGTAGAGAGGTTTATTGTAAATAAAAAGGAGTAAAGTGGGGCACAAATAATTCATACCTCAAAGGAGTCAGACCAAGTTTGACGAACAGATGTCTTAATAGTGCCAATCCTAATGAGCCTATGGGGGGCAATTTCATTTATATCATCACACAGGGTTATAATATTTCTTACTAGTTTATGAAAATATTGTTATTACTACAAATTCTTATCTGCTATAGCAGAAAGTATATACCCAAACAATTAAGAAATTCCATGATTCATTTTTTTATATTTAGAATTATGACAATAGATACCAGAGGAAAAAATATATATTTTTATGCATCTATTTATTTTACATCCTGGCCACAAGGCCCCCCCCCCATTATCACCAAATCTTACCTGCTCTATTGTATTTGTTTTCTCTTGTAGTGGATGAGTGCTTGTCTGACTACACAGTTGTACTTCCTGTGGTTGGGGCCATTGTGGTCGTCCTCTGTATTGTGGGTCTGGCTGTCTACAAAATCCGCCAAAGGCACCAGTCATTGGGATACCAGAGAATCTAATTCATAACCAAAGGAAATGGGAAAAATGGTGTTTAGAAAAAAAATTTCCAGTATTTCCAGAATGTGGGAGGCTTCTCTTATTCACTAACATCTACTAAAACCAATGATTGGTTAGCAATTAAAATTAAAACAGCATATCAATTCTGAATATTTTTGCTCATCTCATCAAAGACTAAGGAAGATATTTAAAAGTATTTTCTAGCTTATGTTGGAAAATTTTAAAAATTCAAATGAATATTTGAGATATATTGAATTAACATAATGTACAAAAGTGGCAGGAATTTACAAATTATAAACCAAAATAATTGATTTTAATTAGTACTACCTGTGTTTGCCTAGAGAAATTCATTTTAGCGTTAATACTTTCATTTAAAATTATTTCAATGGATTTTCTTACCATCTGTGTTTATTTGATGTATGTGTGTCTGACATGGTCCTTACCTCCCTTTCCATTTAAATGTTTTTAGTTATCAAAAAGAACAACATATCTCATATTACTTAGATTTTTGCATGAAAACAACTTTTTTTTCCTTCATGATTCTTGATTCAGAATTAATAGAGACTAATGATAGGGGATGTCTTTCTGTATGCAGTGAATATATATTTCTCTTATTGGTTGATAAATAAATAAATTGTTTTGGCCAATGGACAGTCAAAATTTAGCTAGGCAGGAATTCCAAACAAAGAGGCAGGGAAAGAAAGACAAAAGACAGATGCCATGTAGCAGTCAGGGAGAAAGATCCCAGGGAATCACCCAGGCAAGCCACAGCCACATAGAGATACACAAATTAATAGAAATAGGTTAACAAATAAGAGAGAGCTATAGAGTAAGAAGCCTAAGTCAATGACCAAAAAATCATGAATATATATTAAGTCTCTGAGTGCTTATTTCTTAATTGGCTGCAGGACCCAATATCTGGGTGGGGAGAAAACTGGTCCAGTGAGACTGAGATGAGAAAATCTCCTTCTACATTCTGGCAGTGCAATGCGGGACTCTCCAGTTTCCACATAAGACTTAAAAGCTTAAAAAAAGAGAGAGGAATTTTGTAATGCATATATGGGGCCAAGAACAGCATCCTCAAAAAAACACAGTCATAGGTTAAAAGAGTAATTTAAAGATTATAAAATAAGGTCCTTCAGAAAGAAATAAATTAATATAAGCCATGTAAAGATGGAAAATAGAGATTCTGGATTATGTATACTATTGTGTTTTCTTTTAATTTTTTGGCTGCAGAGAGACATTTGATTCTGAGCACTGCTAAGCTAAACCAACATATATATTTTAAAGGTATCATGACTTCAAAATTTGACTCCAAAGATAATGTTACTTTGAAAAAAGGTTCTGCTTTTGTTTCTACAGAGGATGGGAACCTATGGATTCCTTCCAGGCCATGGTTTGATCAAGCAAGACCCCCTGAAACAATGGCCCAGGACAGCCAACTGAGATGATACCACCTCACAAACTACTACAGCCAGGATTTGGTCAGGGTTCTGGGTTTTCTCAGGATCCCCTTGGAATCAGCACCATCCCCAAACAGCAGGAAGTAGTTTGGAGAGAACTACACCCAAATTCCAAAATATTGTTTAAAAATGTTTGTTTTCATTTAAACAAGGTTGATATAGAAATGAATACTTTGCACTAGTATGGATTTTGGTTTATTGATACAAATTTAAGGTCAATTTTGTTATATGTATATTTCTACTCTTGTTTTGGTATTGTGTTTATACAGCTCATCTAAAATGTAATGTATAGTTAAAATACAGATTAATAGTAATCTATAGTAGTTAAAACTTATAGTCATGTTAGTTAGGTTTTCTAGATATATAGAGATATATTTTAAATGGATAGGTATTCTCCAAAACCTTTCAAAGACCTATAGAATATGGCATTTAAAATAGTTTATTAGGGTTTTGCATGACAATGAGACACAACTGCTCCTGGCAAAACCAGTTATGCTAGAGATGAAAATGGGCCTCCAAGAAACTCATTATGAAGTTTGCCTTCAATGTGGCAAAACTGGCCTGTTGGGAAAAGAACTGCCCTGGCCTCAACTGTAGTAACCCCAATGTCCAAACTGGACAAGCCCGTTACAAAAGAAAGTGACTACTGAACTTGCCAAGAGACAGGATGGTCCTTCAAGGTTCCTGTTTTACAGAAGAAAGAACTGATGAACTTTGCCAATACAAGTTTCCTATTTAATTAAAAAGTCTGCCAGACACTATGACCTATGGGACTGAAGATGGATGCCCCTAAATTACAGATAAACTTTGGGTGACTGTCCTGGCAGTGAGATGTCTTTGTCAATTCTAGTGTATGTATGTATTATCCTTCTTTGGTCTTTGATGGAGTTGATGACAGTTATGATTTTCCTTAGTTATGATAAAAGATAAGTTACACATAAAATTTTAGACTCACAAAGATAGAATATATGATAGAATATTTTCTTTAAATTTTGCCAAATGTTAGTGGACTGAATATTGTTAACTATAGTTTTATAGTTAACTATAGGTATAGTTATAGTTGATAACTGCTTTGTTATTATAATTTTACTATGTTAAAGTTAAAACCCTCATTTTTATTTAGACAGAAAAGAGAGATGATGGGAATGTCCTTCTGTATGCTATGTATATATGTTTCTCTTATTGGCTGATGAATAAAGCTGTTTTGGCCAATGGACAGGAAAGGTTTAGCCAGGTGAGAACCCAAACAGGGGCACAGAGAGGTAGTAAATGGAGTCTAGGAGACACCATGTAGCTACCAGGAAGGTAGGACACCTGGGCATTCTCTTGTAAGCAAAGACCACATGGAAATACATAGGTTAGTAGAAATGGGTTAATAATTCAGAGAGAGCTAGCCAATAAGAAGCCTAAGCCATCTGCCTAACAGTTTATAATTAATATAAGCCCCTGTGTGTTTATTTGGAACTAAACAGCTGTGGGACCAGGTGGGACAGAAACTTATGTCCACAATTTAGGGTGTGTCTTCCTACTTCAAATGAAGTAGGTGATTCCACATGTAGTTAGATAGATAACCAAGATTAGCCATCACAAGCTTAGCTCTTGTCAACTTGACACACAGTCACGTCTCCTCATGTCAATTTTAAAATTAATTAATTTTTAAAATGAGAGCAAAAACAAGTCATAACTCTGCCTAATGTGATATAACCCATGTAATATCAAACATGTATACAGCTGAAAATGTATTATATACTTTACAATAGTTAGCAAAGTCCTTTGAGGAATGCTTATTTTTGCTTTCAAATATGATATTACACATATATTATCCCAATACTATTTCAATCAATATTATATTTCATGATAAAGTAGAGGAAAGAAAACACAAATATCTGCTTAGTATATGTGTATGGATGCACAAACATAGTCTTTAAAAAATAGGATATAAACACTCATGAAAATTATAACCCTCATTTTTGCAACTGATTCCATGGTCTTAGCTGGTATTTATGACTGTCTTCCTCTACAATCCCTGTTGTATTTCATCCACCCTCAGCAAGCTGATCAGTGGGTCTTGACTTTTCTGGAGGAATGGCTCATACTCTCATTCATGAGAGGTGTGTGCCCTTTGTGTCATCCTGCCTGATTTAAACTTAGTTTCCCATTGACTTTCTTTACATGGTAGCACGAAGAGACCCTAAAGGATTTCCTGCACTCCAGACATAATCTATCTTTCTCTATTGTGGAGAAGCAATCAGTTCCCCTAATAGTCTGCATCAGTCACCTCTCCTAACACTGTTATTCCTTTCTTAGCCTTTTGGCTTAAGGACATAAGAAACCCAAAGTGGCCAGATAGTATATCTGAGTTACAGTTCAGTGGAATATTTTTTGGTGGCTCTTGGCAGGCAGCAGGAAGTGACTGTTGCACTAGACCTGAATTGAGCATTTGATGCCTCAAAGAGTGCCCCATATTACATACTTCCTCCAACAAAGCCACACATATTCCAACAAGGCAACACCCTCTAATAGCACCACTCCCTATAGGACTATGACAGCCATTTTTTATTCAAAACACCATATCCCACGCCCTGGCTCCCATAGGCTTGTAGCCATATTTGTAACCATATCATAATGCAAAAGCATTTAGTCCAACTTCAAAAGTCCCCACAGTCTACAGTAGTCTAAATAGTGTTTAAATTTTTAAAGTTCAAAGTCTCTTCTGAGATTCATACGATCTCTTAACTGTAATCCCCTGTAAAATCAGAATAAGAAAGTAGATCACATACTCTTGACATTCAATGGCACAGGGCATACATTGCAATTCCAAAAGGGAAGGAAGGGAGCATAGTGAGGAAATACTGGACCAAAGCAAGACCGAAAACCAGCTGGGCAAACTCCAAACATGACATCTCCATGTCTGATGTCAACACACTCTTCAGATCTCCTACTCCTTTCAGCTTTGTTGACTGAACATACTTTATTCTATTGGGCTGGTTCTACCTCCAGTTAATAGCATTCCTTGACAGATAAACCATGCCTCAAGCATCTCAAACATTTTGGAGTCTCTAAGGCAATCCAGACTTCATCATCAGAGCTTCACACAATGGCCTCTCTAGGCTTCCTTGCAGGGACATGCCAGAAACATGCCTGGCCTCAGTAGCTTTCCTTAGTTGGGGAGGAAGGTTCTGTAACCCATTCTTCTATTCTTGACTCTAAAGCCCAAACCATATGGCCAAAACTTCGAAGTTCTTGTACTTTCTAGGGCTGACACAGCATGCTTCTGCCAGTTCAGTCACCATTGTCTTCCATGTTTCTACTAGGATGGCCCATTAAACTCTACTTAAAGCATTCAACTGCTTTTCTAATCCAAAGTCCCAAAGTCCACATTCCTCCAAACAAAAGCACAGTCAGGCCCATCAAAATACCCCAGCCCCTGGTACCAACTTCTGTCTTAGGGTTTTTATTGCTGTGAAGGGACACCATGACCACAGCAACTCTTATAAAGGGAAACATTTAATTGGGGCTGGCTTACAGGTTCAGTAGTT